GGCACCTTCTAGGGCACAATTCGTGGCACAGGTGACATCATCTGGGCAGATAGTTTTATCCCAGTCATTACCAGTGTAACAATTGGTGTAGCCGGCAGTGTTGTGAACCCAGCGCCAGTTGGCGTCGACGACAACCTTGCCGCTTTGGGGAGTGCAGTTTCCTCCAGCAGTGCACTTTTGCCAAGTCAAGGAAGGATGGACTTCAGGCTTGCTTGTGCCCACCTGCTGTGCGTGTGCAGCCCCGAGAAAGGCGGCCAACAGCAGGGCATTTTTGTAGATCTTGAAGGAGAGAGCGGAGGCCATGATGTTCAATGTCGACGTGTACCGGGTTGAGATCTTGATGAATTGATGGGGGATTGGAGACTCACTTGGATATAGAGTCCTTTTATATTCCAATGGGATACGGTATTCATATTGAGCTTCAGGTTACGGCTCTACGGTCCGTATGACCGCATGACGATAACATGTCAAGTTTCCCAATGGAGATGTGCAAGAAACACTCCGGGGACACGGGGGGCGTTCCCCAGACCCCGCGACGGGCTTCAGTAGATGGAGTGGTTTTCGGAGGAGGCGTCTTGGGTCTTGGTGGCACACACCGAATTGGCTGTGAAGATTCCCTCGCTTGAAGGGAAAAGGTGCATGCTGACCGCCAAACTAGGCACCTACAATGCAACTAGATCGAATTGAAACCCATTGGCGGCTAAATGGCCAGCCTCCAAATTAGGTAGGGACAACGCCATGTCGTCTACGCCTTGACGTGGGGGAGAAAATGAAACATGGCATATCCGGATTAGGAAAATACCTCAGATCCGTGACCAGGTAGTCACTCCCCGGATTCTGCAGGAAGTAGATCGCGGGGGCAGACTTCGCCCCAATTCTCGGTAATTTGCGTTGGCTGCACTAGCTAGGTGCAGTGCATTAGCGTATTCAAGGCAATTTAGTTTAATCACGAGCAAGAATTCACTGCCGAGCACAGGCCTGCCAATTTGTAGTCTTATGACACCGGTGTAAGTGAGATGGATACATAATTTTGGTGCCGAGTGGCTTTTTCGCGCTAGAGAAACAACTATAGAATTCGGCGATTTATTGTACTATTGAGTTGAACATTTTGAATTGAATCCAAGTCCCAAAGGTATGCAAGAGATGAAGAATCAAAGTGAAGATCAAAGTGAAGATCAAATGAAGATCAAGTGAAGATCAAAGTGAAAGCCGATCCACTAGGCGGCCACCGGGGTAGGTGGGAAGTAATGCCGGCAGATGAGTCATCGCCGAAACCGGCAAGTGGGAATCACGAAAAAAAAAAAGAAACAATCTCTCTATATTCTCTTAGACATTTGAAGGATTATTAGCGGATTCAACACCGTTTCATTTAACATGGCTTCTAGCTTCATTTTGACCCTCTCTGGCCCTGACCGTCCCGGTATCGTCCACGCGGTCACTGCATTCCTCGTGCAGAATAACCTCAACATTATCGATTCGTCGCAATTCGGTGATCCTGCCTCGGAGCGTTTTTTTATGCGCACACAATTTGCGATTGCAAGTGGAGATGAAACTCCCGAACTTGAGAAACTGCGCATTGCGTTCGAGCCCACTGCCCAGTCATTCTCCCTGAACTTCGAGATCAACCCCACTGTGAAAAAGCCCCGCGTGCTGATCATGGTCTCCAAGATTGGCCACTGCCTCAACGACCTGCTATTCCGCCAATCCACTGGCCAGCTGAGCATTGAGGTGCCTTTAATCGTTTCCAACCACCCGGATTTCGCTACTCTCGCGGCCACCTATAATATCCCATTCCACCACCTCCCCGTCACCGCGGATACCAAGGCGCAGCAGGAGGCCCAGATTTTGGAATTGGTGGGCCAAAACAACATTGATTTGATTGTGTTGGCTCGATATATGCAGGTGTTGTCCCCAACCCTGTGTTCCGCCATGTCCGGTCGCATTATCAACATCCACCACAGCTTCTTGCCCTCTTTCAAGGGTGCTAAGCCATATCACCAGGCCTATGACCGCGGTGTGAAGATCATTGGCGCCACTGCCCATTTCGTCACTAGTGATCTAGATGAAGGGCCGATCATCGAACAGAACGTCGTTCGGGTCAACCACGGCATGAGCCCCAAGGAGCTGACCCATGCCGGCAGTAACGTGGAGAGCAATGTGCTTGCCACTGCTGTCAAGTACGTGACAGAGCGCCGTGTGATCTTGAACGGCCACAAGACTGTTGTCTTCAACTAAGACATTGAGTCGCTACCAACTCTGTGATTTATATTGCCATATTGCACATTTGGCCATCATTAAATCATCCCCTTCAATCCTTTTTGTGATACCTCTATGATCAATATTATGGACCATGGGACTACCAAGAATAGAAAATTTAAAACGAAAATAGATTTCGAGTTCCAATGTATATATATATAGTCTAAAATACAATGACGCAGTAGACTTCGCAGCCCCAAACCGTAGGGTTGGCAATACTCTTAAGGTTATATTGCCGCCTTCTATCTTATAAATTTCTATTTTCATCTTTCTATCGTTCATCGTTTATCAGTTTCACTCACGCTCAGGTACCAGCGGTATAGGCGCCAACTGCCAAAACCCTATTTCTGGTAAATATTGATGCTTTGATGCTTAGCTTTGGCCTGGCGGCCTGAATGAAAGACGGGCAGAAGAATTAAAATACCTGAATTACCATGACACTTCCCTTTATTATCAAAGTAGCCTGATCTTGCTAGCGTTTACAACTATCAAAAATGAAGCTTTTCATCTCCATATTCTGGGTCGTCTGCAAGTCCTTAAATATGCAGATACTACCATTTGTATGGAGATCAAAAGTTTCAATTTTGACTCTTGCAACTCGTCCAAGAAAGTCCAGATATCTCACTTCGTATGGGATGAAAAGCTTCATTTTTGGATGAATCATTTACATTACATTATATAGGGCGGTGTAAGAAGCGGTCAATAACTAGATCAAATCAGGCATTAAGGCATTAAATAACGTAATCGGTAAGCGAGTCGGCCATGTAAGCCAGCCGGCCACCCAGCCCAAAACGCGTCCATAGATTAGCACTTAGTCAATTCAACCGCGCACCATGCCACCAATTCGCTCCCAATCCTCTAGCAATTCAGCAGAGCAAGAGGGTAGGGTTTTATTAGCTATTGAAGCTTTTAAAAAGAAAGAAATCTCTTCAATTCGCGAAGTGGCACGCGTTTTTAACATACCACGTTCAACACTTCAAGACCGACTACGTGGCCACCAAAATCGCGCGATTTGTCGCGCAAATTCGCATAAATTGACCGAATATGAAGAGGAATCTCTTCAAAGATGGGTTCTCTCTATGGACTCTCGTGGATCTGCCCCCCGGCCTTCTACTGTACGAGAAATGGCGAACCTTTTACTTCAACAACGTGGAACCACCCCGGTTATTTCGGTCGGCGAAAAATGGGTTTATAACTTTGTGAAACGACACCCTCTCCTCTCATCCCGATTCTCGAGACGCTATAATTACGAACGTGCGAAGTGCGAAGACCCGAAAATCATCCAAGGGTGGTTCGATCTTGTTCAAAAAACAATCCTCCAATTTGGAATCCACCCCGATGACGTTTATAACTTCGATGAGACCGGCTTCGCGATGGGGCTAATCGCTACAGCGAAGGTGATTACAAGGAGCGAATTCTACGGCCGGCGCTCGCTTTTACAACCTGGAAATCGCGAATGGGTGACTGCTATTGAGTGTACAAATTCGTCGGGTTGGGCCCTCCCTCCGTGTATCATTTTTAAAGGCAAAGTCTTTATTGAATCATGGTTTGATGGCCTTCCGGATGACTGGCGATTTGAAGTTAGTCCGAACGGTTGGACCTCTGATGAAATTGGACTTCGTTGGCTTGAAAAGCTCTTTATTCCTAGCACTTCTTCGCGTACGAAGGGGGGTATCGTCTCCTAATACTCGACGGACATGGAAGCCATTTGACCCCTAAATTCGATGAAATTTGCGAGCAAAATAAGGTTATACCAATTTGTATGCCTCCGCACTCCTCTCATCTTTTACAACCCCTGGATATCGGTTGTTTTGCTGTGTTAAAGCGATCATATGGTCGGCTAGTTGAAATGAAAATGCGGAACGGGATCAACCATATCGATAAACTTGACTTCCTTGAAGCATACCCCCTCGCACGAATCGAAGCTTTTAAATCGGAGACTATTAAGAATAGCTTCGGAGCAGCTGGCTTAATACCTTTTGCACCTAATCGAGTGATCTCGAAGCTAAATATCCGTCTTCGAACCCCGACCCCCCTCCGAGTAGGGGGAGCGATTGGGACCCAAAAACGCCCTCGAACTACGTGCAATTACAAAAGCAAGCTTCGTCAATTAAAGCTTTACTTCGTGCTAGATCAAAGAGCCCTCCGAGCCCGCTAAATTGCGCGATAAACAAGGTTTTAAAAGCCTGTCAAATCACAATGCAGTCCGCCGCTTTACTTGAGAAAGAAGTGAGCGATTTACGCGCCGCCAACGAGAAGCAGAAGCAAAAGCGGACTCGGTCTACGAGGACGATAGTCCACGAAGGAGATCTTTCAGTCCAGGAGGTTCGTGAGCTACGTGGGGAACCATTCGAGGCCCAAGTTGCACGTATCAATACCTATCGTGAGCAGGTATCGGAGGGTTTACAGCCACCTATACGGGCCGGGCGAGCCTGTGGAATATGTAGGCAGCCGGGGCATAGGAGAGAAACATGTCCAAATAGATAAATGAATTTAGTTACATTAATTTAATGGCGTTGTGGCTATGATATATCCATTTAAACTTAGTATGTTAGACTGGGTGGCCGGCTGGCTTACATGGCCGACTCGCTTACCGATTACGTTATTTACTAGAATCGGGGTTTTGGCAGTTGGCGCCTATACCGCTGGGTACTCAGGCGTATTCGTATTTGGCGGGGAAGATGAAACTCAACATCTGCACTGCTCAAAGAAAGATTCCATTCCTATCCATCTCTCCAACCAAGATGACCTATACTGTTGCTCCTCATCTCGAATACTTCACCATCCCCCTCCAGGACTTCGCGGCCGCGCGACCTGAATTTGAAGAGTTTGGTGTTGGCGCTTACATTTTCTCTCATGCCGATCCCACCCCGCGCATCCTTCTTCTCCAGCGTGCGCTGACAGACTCAATGCCCGGCTGTTGGGAGGGCCCCGGAGGCGCATGCGAGCTGGAAACCGACAAAACCTTACTCGATTCCCTTGTACGCGAAACGCTAGAAGAAAGTGGATTGCATGTGTCTCACATTGTTGACCTCGTCGCGGTGGATTGCTGGGAGCACCATCGCCGCAGTGGTGGCAAAGCCCGTATTACCAAGTACTCGTTTGTTGTCGAGGTTCAAGAGACCTTGCGATGGTCAGCAGGAAAACAGCAACCGGTGCCAACACTTCAAATACCTATTCAACTGGAGCAATTGGAGCACCAGAAATTCGACTGGGCGATAAAAGAGGATATTCTGCTTTCTGTCCAATCCCCTAACGGTCGATACAGATTCCCATTGCCCTTAATTGGCCATCAAGCACCTAATATCCTAAGGGCTTTTGATTTGGTTGAAGAATGACAGAGCAAGGAATGGTCCGTGGATCTCGCAGAGTGAAGTCTCAAAAGCGTATTCATAACACATCAAACTCAGCACGTTGCTCTCTTCCGCCCCGCGCTGTACAGATATTTTATAATTGGAGTTCTAGACCCTTCCTTCTCACACGTCTGGGTTGTTTTGCTTTTGCTTTTGCTTTTGTGTCTTATTTCCTACTAGAGAGTATCAAGTAAAACACGCGCACTACCACCACTTGTATAGGTGAAGTTAGAATGCAGCAAATGGGGAGAGGGACGATGAGTATTGTGACAAAAAGAAAACAGCTACTTCGTGACGGACATGATATATACATAAGCGAAGAAACAAACAGATCCCCGAGAGGACCCGCGAAGAACGAGGACGCCGGAGTTGCCAATGCTCAGTAAATCATATGACAAGTGAACGCTCGGCTGAGTTCATGAATTTGCCCTAGCAGTGCTGGAGCTGGATGCTGATGACCTAGGCGGGACTTCACCAGGCATCGGCTTGCGAGCCCACACTCTTCTCCTGTACTGGTCAGTCGATGAGGAGCTTCAACACTACAAATCAGAACTTACGCTTTGTGATAAGCATGGAAATAAGGGTTCTTGAGTTCACTGCGTATCTTGGCACAGTATACATGAACCTGTTCCTTAGTCCACGGCTCGGGGTCTCCAAATTTCGTTAACAGCCACATGCACCACCCCTCCATACCAGACATCCAGTGCTGGCAATTGACCATACCTGCCTCCTTGAATTTCTGGTCCCTGGGCCATGGCCCAATTGGCCATTTGTAGACCTTTTCGTGGACGTCCACAAACCCTGCGTTCTTGATGCTCTCCGACATGGTGAGGACGATATCGCAAGAGCGACCAGCGCGATCACCGCACGTTTGTAAAAGTGGACCCCACGAGGACAAAGCACTGTCGGCTGGGAGACTCCCATCGTCACTTGTGATAAAAGGGCCAGCCTCAATCTGCTCGATCCACCCACCAGGGGCCATTTTCCTATTATACAATTAGACTGGCTCCAAGACAACTCGGGTCTATAACGTACTCGAAGCAGTGCTGGTAGACACGATCCCACTCGAGAGAGTCAAATGATCCGATCATGTTGCGCATATGGATCAGATCAAATTGTTCGCGCCATGTCCATTCTTGTAGCACATCATCGACCTCGATGACACAATTGGGTGGCATCCAGGTGACCGGAGGGGGAAAAGGTCAACTCCTCGGACAGTCGCATTCGGGAACATATCAGCGACATCGCTATGAATGATAAGTATTTAACATTTTCACTGGGGTCGGAACAGTCCGGCGTACATGGCCCAAGTGCCCTTTCCGGTTCCAATATCGAGAACCTGTAGTGGGCGTTCTCGGTCGGTCCCGATCGGTGACCGAAACAGTGGATTGGGTTGATCCGAATCCATGATGAGATCCACGATATGTCTGCCACGATGATCAGGGGCGTGTCCTGGACTAGGATTGGAATATGTACCCTGCCTCATAGGTCTCAAATTGTTGCTCGTCAGACGGGACACTATCAAGAAATGAGTATATGTATGTTCTTGTGTGACATTTCAACCGCATACCAATATTCTTTGTTTGAAAGGGATTGATATCTATTCTCTTGTCAGATATCACCAAGTGATCTAACCTGTGAAGTCCTTACCGCCTCCCATTGTCCATCAACCCACGATATATTGATGATTTAATCGAGGTTGTCTCCCTAATGCGGCGTAAGGAATGAAGTACAAGATATCCAAACAATCACATGCAAACTCACGAGTGCCAGTCATCGGGGCTATAAGCACACTCAGGAGGGTACAAGTCTGGATCTACCGCGATGGTCTCCATATTTTTCATTATAAATATATATATATATATATACCTGGAGCCCGAAGAAACACAATGGGGGGAGTATAGGGGAAAGAGAGAGAGAAGAGAATAAACTCGTGGAACACTAGAGAGATCAACATTGGAAACGTTAATATTACATAACCCATGGACCCCCGGGTCATCCATGGATCTTTTTTGACTTTTTCCCACAAGAAGATCTCTGATTGGTTAAGGAAAGTGCAACCTCTTGACGCTTTCCCTAACTGGGTAACTTCGTCAAACCTTGGAACCTGGTCCCGTGCCCCACACGGAAGAACTCTCACCTTTCCCCTGGATCTCCTATTGGTTTATTCACCTTTCATAGGGTCCACGGGTATACTCTGTATTCTCAATATGAGATGTACATATACAATATACACTCCGTATTTGTGCAATTTAAAGTACTTGTGAACCCTCTATAACTATATACTGACTGGTCAAATTCGAAAAAAAAAATACCTCACCTTAGAAACTCCCTATTAATGGAATATCTGACCAATTTGCTAGACTGGTACTACCTTTAAAATGACAATAGCCTCGACTCGACTACCTCGTGATGCTTCCATGGGCCGACATTGGTATCGCAATAGACGAGTTGTGTTGTTCTTCCGAGAGTTGCTATGCGGCAAAGCATGGACCCCGCCATAAACGCAACCTTGGCAATGTATGTAATCTGCACATCAAGGTTCGTTCGGTATTGCAGTACCCGTTTTAGAGCGGTGTATCTTCTGCCCAATAAAACAGTGCAACCTCTGTATAACAGTGAACTAATATTTAAGACCCATTGGCCCATTCACAGCTACTAGAATACTTGGAAAGTATCGACCAGGAACGATGCCTGAAGGCAATCCATCAACCCTCGACCAATTGGTTCAAATTTTAGAACAGACCCGGGGAATATATATAGACATTCCAGATCGTCAGTATGATTGAACCCATTTGCGCCACTTGTTCTGAGGCAGGATTGGCAACCTCTCCATTTGGACTTTCAGAAACTTTCCATTCCAAACATTGCTCTACAAGACCTGGAGTATATCTCAACAATCCTTCGCACCGATAATACGAAGCAACGGGAGGCTGATGTCCTGACCGATGTCCTGACCGATGTCCTTGGGATTTGCTACCAGCCAACCATGTTAGGGGGCCTAGGAATACATAAGCAAGATTCTTTCACAACGCAACAGGAATCGGAAATATTGTTCCTTGTGGATGCGTGGCTGGAATCACTCAATTCAGCCGACCGAGAAAAATCAATCCCTTGCCTTCTAACACAAAGGCCGGAAGGCCGCCGAGGAATGACTACGAGTGAATAAATATTTGCGATGCATGATTTAAACCACCGAGGATTTGTGGTTCCAGGCGACATAATTCGTGTTTGTGTTGATTGGGTACTTGCATCTGAGGTGTCTTGGGCAGTAGGTTTGCTTTCAGAGGAACCGTGAGATGCGGGCTAATTGTGAGTCTCAAGGGAATGGAAAGCACCTATAATCTGCTGGGAAAACCTGGAATATTCCGAAATGATCGCTTCTGGCTTTCTGGGGACCATGTTGTTGATCCAAGAGTTAACAAACTACCTCAAGTACAGGCGCTGATCAGTGGAAGCGAGAGAGCGAAGCACACTTTCAAAATGACGGAATACCAAGGCATGAACGTCCGTTTTTCCAGTTTTTTTTTTTTTGTACTTACTCCAATTGCTGAATCACACCTATAAAGTACACTATTCTCCACACTGAATTCTACCGAGAGCGCGCGCAACCCGGAATGCTGGTCGTTGGCTCAGATTCACACACATGTCCATCAGGGGCAGTAGGCTGTCTCGCAATTGGACTGGGTGCTGCGGATGTTACTTTGCCTTTGGTTACTGGGGAAACGTGGTTCAAAGTCCCGAAAGCCATCAATATACGCCTGGTTGGAACACCAAAGCCAGGGATCGGAGGTAAAGATGTCATTTTGTACATCTTGCAAGTGCCAAAACGGAATACTACAGCATCTGATAGAATTGTGGAGTTCACAGGCCCAGCAGTCAGGCATTTATCCCTTGATACCCGCTTCGCAATCTCAAATATGACCGCGGTATGTCATAGCCATAAATCAGTTGGGTCAAATTTACTAATGTCTGACAGGAACTTGGTGGCATTACTGACCTATTTGTGCCAGATAAGATTACCCACAATTTCATCAATAGACGCAAACTTGCTCAATACAAATGCCCCACGACGTACTTCAAACCCGATACCGATGCGAAGTATGCCGCAGTTCATGAGATCGACCTTACAAATGTGGGGTCTTTTATAGCACGTTATCCCAGGCCGGATGACGTGGTTCCAGTTACAGAAGAAGAGGGAATAGTGCTGAACGGATGCTTTATCGGGGCCTGCACTACGACGGAGGAAGATCTGATCATTGGTGCTCTAGTAATGGAACAAGCAATGAAAAGAGGACTAAAGCCTACCGCAAAGGGGAAGAGAAAGGTCGTTCCCGGTTCAATGCCAATACAATATCGCCTACGGGAACTGGGGTTATGCGATATATACGCAGATGCAGGCTTTGAGATCGGTATCCCCGGGTGCAGTTAGTGTCGGCATGTCAGTCGACCAGGCCGCGGCAGGAGAGGTCTGGATTTCCTCTCAGAATCGAAATTTCGAAAACCGGATGGGAAAAGGTAAAGAGTACCATTTAGTGTCATGGGATAGCGGATTAACACCACTGATTTAGGGTCGATTGGTCATCTCGCATCTGCAGCTACCGTCGCAGCATCATCCTTTGAGATGAAGCTAGTGGATCCCAGTGATCTGCTTGCTGCGATTGATTTACACCGATGGAGCCGTCTTAGGACAGCAAGTATAGATTTGGATGCAAACTTGAAGAGTGATCCGGAATATGTTGAGCCATGTGATTGTGGCGATTATCCTAGTGCCATGACACAGAGACAGAAAAAAATAGAGAAAAAGCGACCAGATAAAGACGGAGAGAGACTGACAAAAAAGGCTCCAAGGCAAAGTACAAAGACTGGGAGATTTCATCGACACGGATGCAGTGCGTGTATATCCTTTCCTTGTATTTGTGGCGTGCCAATGCTAATGGTAGTCTTCAAGCTGGCCCCTGCGGAGATTCCGATTGGCATGAAACAAAATCAGGACGCTGGAATGTCTTGCCTGATACATACACATCCAGAATTCCGTGAACGAGCCCAGCAGGGTTTTAATATTGTTGTTGGTGGTAAGGGGTTTGGTTACGGGTCGTCCCGTGAACAAGCAGTAATGGCATTGTTAGGCAGGCCAAGTCCAACAATCTTATTGATGAATCCAAAATTTTTGACCAGAAGTTGCTTTCAGGATGCAATGTCCAATGTGTCATAGCCAAATCGTTTGCGTTCATCTTCCAACGCAACATGCCAAGCCTTGGGCTCCTAGGTATCAATCACAATGGAAGATGAATCCTTCTTCCAAGTTGCGAATGATGGAATTTCGATATCCATCGATCTGAATTGAAGAATCATCGAAATTGACGGTAAGATGTTTCGATTCAAACTCAGTCAGATGGAAAGCGAGATATTTCAATTTGGCGGGATCGCTTCGGCTTTTGGGATCTTCGGGAAAAGGCTCCTACAGGCAATAACTCCAGCCAAATTTCCTTCAAGCCATAAGAAGGAGACAGTAGAGCTGCCGGATGAAAGGTTAAGATGGTAACTATCGTATCCAATCTTTCCACTTTAGTCCTTCCATTACGTCTCGGTGTGGAATAGGCCGGAACAGACAGAAGAGGGGAGGTCATTGATGGAAAAAAAGGAGATTTGGAAGGATCTAACCTATCAAGAGGCCCCAAAAGAGGAAACAGGGTGCTACCACCTTCCATAGTTAGGCCCTCAGCAATAATCAAGCAAATCTGACATGCCTAGTATTTAGTACCATTTTCAGTAAATCGGTGCTTATGATTGTCCCGAGAGGAATAGTGAATCGGGTGTTCTCGGCCATCGATAGTATAACCTTTTTTCGTAAATTAATTAGACTCCGGTAGCAGCATTTTGTTTCCTCGCATTGGACGAGATCATTTCCCTGCGTGTCAAGAGGTCCGGGAGTTGATCATCCGTGCCCATGTTCACGGGTAACTCACTGTCTTCGATTCATCAACTTGACATGATTTCTACGAACGGTGACAGCATCCAATAGAATCTACACTTAGCACATCGCTATTTCTCGCAGGGTTGGCTCAACATCGATGGTGCATTCCGCAGTACCTTCGTGGTTGATTGGTTTGATGGAAGGATGTTCGAACTGCCATAGAATATTCAGAAAGACCGTAACTATCGTGTCACCCGGGTCATCATAAGCCTGCGAAGCTCGACGGCTTGCGGTAGGGATTGCCAAGCCGCTGTGACTATTGGACGCTGTCACATATGCGGTCAGAATGGAGTTAAGCACAATCAACTGAGGTATGTATACTCCATATAGGAGTCATAGCCAGAAGGTTCACCAGGAAAAACCCACCCTGACTTAGTGCATCTTCCTGGTCAGGGGTGTAACGATTACTCGATAGAAATACCTGTCAGTGAAGGTCAGTGGGGGCAACGTGCTTTCCGCGGGGAAGGCCACGAGGAGAGCCGGCAAATTTCCACTACGTCCTATCTTAATGAAATGAAGTTGGGAAACTCTACCGCTGTACGCATCATATTTGGTTCCTAGTTTTGACACTAGGTACGATGGGGAAGGAGAACACCGTTTCTTGTTAAATGTAAAGCCGAGGTGCATTGTGGGGTGAGAGCTGAGATATATTTGTGCTCGGCTATTCGGATATTTATTTTGGGTCTACACTGTTGATTATGTATGGACTAGAATTGAGCGTCATGTTCAAGTAAAATATCATTGATTCATCATACTATATTGCATAGTAGCGCCCCTTTTCAATCCAGGCCGAATCATGACGTTAATCTCAGCCACATCGACTTCGTTCGAAATTAAAATCCATGATCTTCAAACATCTTCCACCTTCTTCTCGTCTGCATCACACATATGATGTGGCTCATAGGGTATCTCGTTCCATGTGTCACTTGCCCCAGGGATAGGAACCATCCAGGCTAGGACCCAATACACTGCCCCAGAGACAATGAACCCCGAAAAGTAGTTGACGTTATAGATGTACTTGGCTCCCATAGGAACATCGACACCAACGGCGCCAGCAAAGCCAACAATGTTGATCAAGATGCCGCATATGTATGCGGCATACCCGTGCCATGAAACCCCAAATGTTCCGTAATAAAGACCATCTCCTTCAGCGCTATACAGCGCTTGCACGTCAAGAAACCCCTTGCGGACTAGATAGTAGTCACTAGCCATGACCCCTGCGATAGCGGAAAGAAATACCGAATACGCAGAGAGGTACAGAGTGAATTTACTCGAAGATTCAACCAACGTCCACTAACAGTGTATTAGTGTTTGGGGCACTATCGGATTTTGGAGTTACTCACAGGACACATGGCAAGACCGATTGCCGCACACAGATATCCCCCCCGTCGGATCGTACAAAACCGAGGAAGCAGGGCTGTGAGATTAGTACCAGCTGACACAGAGTTGGCGGCAATGTTTGTTCCGAGCTGTGCTAGGGCAAACCCAGCTGCAATAATAAAGATCCCAAATCGCTCGACAGAGCTTGCATCCTGCAAAAACATACCAAGAAGGGTAAGAGGGTTCCAAACTGCTTGACCAAATATGACACTCGATGAAGAAGAAACAATGATCCCGATAAATGATGTGACGGCAAATCCAACAGGAATTGTGATGAGCTGGGGCCATAGTGCGTCCTTAGGGTCGCGAGCATATCTCGTAAAATCTGGATTGTTGATGACCAGGGCAGCAAAGTTTGCGATGCAGTTCAGAATACTTTTCACAAATGCCCAGGCTAAATCACTGCCATGCGCATTGTTAGACTGGTCAATTATCGGCCCAAGTCCGTGGGCTCTAGCAATTGCCCAGCCAAAAAACGCAATAGCACAAGCCGGGGAAAAGTATGCCTTGACCGTAAAAAGATGCCGGACCTTGTAAATGGGAAACCAAAGAGCCGGCAAAGACATTAACCAGAAAATTAGGAAGCTAACAAACTGCTTGGTGGTTACCCCCGATGAAGCAGGAATTGTATCTGGAAGATTGTTGTAGCTTGGCCAGATAGCAGCAATCATCAAAGTCACACATTCACCTGAAAGTTGAAATAATTAGTTCATCTATCAGTGCTTTTCGTCTTCAATAATAGATTACCCCCTAGATAGGTCTTTTTTTCCCACGTAGTTAGACGTGAACGTACGAGTAGGGAAATTTGCGTACCTGTACTCCATACCAAATCACAGCCATCGCTGCTCGGTTGATAATTGGCCAAAACGAACCCCAAATCCCAAATGAAGCTCGATTGGTCACTGCGAAAGGAATACGATAGATGGCACCAATGCGACCTAACATGTAAACAAAAACGGCTGCCATAGTATAACCAATCCAAACGCATAGCCACGACTGCCACCAAGACAGTCCATCGACTATCATCGAGGATGAAATCATCCATGTGTTCTGCCAAAGAGAGTTAGATATACTAATGCATGCTCAAATTACGAGAACGAGCGAGGATCATTCCTCTCTTGAAGCCCTAAGTAAATAATATCAACGTAAACTCACCACATTCAAGGAATCCGCAATCCAAAACGCAACAAAATTGAGCCATCCCCATTGACGGCGTTCTGGATTAACTAAAGGCAACATCGAAAGACGAAAGTGTCAGTTGTGTACAGATTGATGGTGAATAGATCACATTGAACTTTCTTCATGAATCGCAAGAACATGATTTTAGGCGCAACTAATTGATATTTGGAAGGTCACTGGCCGTAGTCTCACCGGGTCGAAGATCATCGTTTGTCAACATCAGCTGCGCTGTTGATAACCCAGGCTCCACAGGCACCTGGACCTTGTTGAGCCAGAACTTCAACTGGCCTAGAGTCATGTTGACAACAAAATACTCTTGATTAAAATATCAAGATGCTCAAGCGTATCAATCGTGGTATGATAATCAAAGTGAAGTGACACCAAGTTTGTAGCTAGGAGACAATTGGAAGAAGGTAGGCTGGTCGTAAAAAATGAAAACAAAGGAGGGATGTTGGCCTAATGTACTGTAGTTAAGGTGACAACATCGATCTACAGAGCATAACCTCTTACGGGTTATGTAGGTAGATCTCAAAGTATCGCAGTTTTGCCGACGGGCATATAAAGTCTAACCCCGCAGTTGGGATGATCTTAACAGCAAGTATAGCCCATTGACAATAGATCATAGGTGACACGCTCAATGGTTGCGTAAAGCCGTGCGATTTTAGGTAATACATGTTCTTCCCCCGCGGTCCGATGAGGTCGAGCTTGTTTGAGGTTGTAAAATATCCTTACTGTGTTTTTACCGAGTTAATTCTAGATAAATAACATACTAAACTAAGAGAAAAAGGGATAGAACAAATCAGTACTATACTATAATGTTGAGAACAATGTATTAAATACCTCGATATTTTCGTGTCTTTCACAAATTAGGAAGGCAAATAAGAACGAGAAAATAAGCGCACAGCTTGGAACTGATATTTTAGATTAGGCTTTCCGACTCCTTGCCAGAAAGAAATTTAAATTCATATCTAGGGATTTATACGCGCAATATGTATATGCGAGAAATCATGATCTCGCCTGTTCATTCCCCTCGACCTCCCGGGCCCGGGATATCTCATCTTTCATCTTAAACACCTCATCTACGCAGGCCAGCTCCTCTGAAACCAGGAGAGCAGCGGAATGGAAGGCCGTGGCACCGGTAATCATATGGAGCAAGCCTATGTTTGATGCCCTCACACCACCTCCAACGATGATTTCTGGAACTTTATGGTTGTGAAGTTTTCTACCCCCTTGGAGTTGCGTTTGATAACGTACTAGTTTTTGCAACTTGTCCACACACTCCGTTGCTTTTGTTCCTGAAGGACCACCATTGGTCAAAATCGACGCAAAGCCACACTCCGTGATGTCGGCCAATGTGGTCTCCCAGTGGGATTCGGGGATGAGATCAAAAGCGCGATGAAATGTGCAGGGTCGCCCCTCAGCTAGTTGGACAAGCTGCTTATTGCGGGATACATCAACCCACGAGGCATTTGGATCACACTTTTGTGGGGATCCAGTCAAAATCCCGAAGACGAAACCGTCAGCCCCGCAGGATTTGAGAGAATTGAGAGTTTGTTTCATCACCTCGAAGTCATATTCATCGTAACAAAAACTATTGGCATGTGGTCGAATCATCGTATAGATCGGTATTTTGATTTGTGATCTCAATTTTTGGAGAACCGCTAGGTCGGGAGATAGCCCACCGAGATGGTAGTCCTTGCATAACCTCGAGGACGATTAGTGATAGAATGGAAGAAGATTTCACAATCAAAGAAAGAAAAAAAAGGAAATGTATGGTTTGGGGCAAATACATTAAGTGGTACAGGGGAGCCCCAACTTGAATATAATACTCACTCGATACGGTCCGCTCCTGCTCTCGTAGCAACTATGGCCGATTCTTGATTGAAACACGCAATCTCTAGGATTGGTAACTGTCGGCTAACGTCTCGACTCATGATGGCTGGTTTGAAGTCAGGTGTGGAGGACGGGATACGTGTGGGAAGAGGAAAGTTTTGTAGTGCGATTGGCGGGTCACCTGATTGATCTTTGAAGCGAGCCCAAATATCGTATCTTAATTATTTGGAGGTGATGGTCTTGTTTTGATTATTTACATCTCGTTTCTGCTGACTCGAATTGACAAGTTGCTCTCGATATTGCTATATATCTTTTTTTTTCTTTTCAGATTGTTAGGGAGAACCTGACTTTCTAACATTCTAAGAAGTACAATTTATATATATATATATATAAATCTCTCTGATATCCCCTTGACATGTATCATCAAGGAAATGCAATGCAACTCTTATCAAAGCGGGGAAATTGACACGATTGCCGTGAATCGGAAACAACTTGCAATACTTCACCTTTCTTTAAATTTCTCATCACTATAATTCTTTCGCCAATGTCTCGACCAATTATCGCAATTGCAGGACTTGCTTGTGAGACCTCGACATTTTCCCCCGCTCGGACACTCGGTGGGGCATTTCACCCACGCCGCGGCCCGGAGGTGGTCGCGGAGTACGATTTTCTGCATCATGGCACTCAGCTTGCAGAAGCTGCAGACTGGAAGGGAGCACTTATCGGGCATGCCCTACCAGGCGGAGTCGTGGTGCGAGCCGATTTTGAACAACTTGCCACGGAAATCCTGGAGCGACTGGCTGCAATAGTCGCCTTAACCCCCATCGATGGACTATGGTACGATATCCATGGCGCAATGTGTGTGGAGGACATGGAAGACGTCGAAGCAGAGCTTCTCCGGCGGATTCGGACTGTTATTGGCCCAGACGTTCTGGTCTCGACATCTATGGATTTGCATGGAAATGTGTCTAGAGAGCTGGCCCACCAGACTGATCTGATCACTTGTTATCGTATGGCGCCCCACGAGGATGAGTTGGAAACAAAGGAAAGGGCGTGTCGCAATCTTGTCCATGTCTTGACTTCGCCAACCGACACTGGAAGAGGGACTAGACCCTTGAAAGCATGGGTCCCAATTCCCATCTTGCTGCCGGGAGAACAGACTTCGACGCGTAACGAACCAGCGAAAGGCCTGTATTCGCTTCTTCCAGAAATTGAAGCGATGGATAATGTCCTCGATGCAGCCATATGGGTTGGCTATGCGTGGGCAGATGAGCCACGAAACCATGCCGTGGTAATGGTCACTGGATGGAACAAGGCTGCTATCATTGGAGGTGCGAAGCGACTTGCATCATTGTTCTGGCGTGTTCATAAGGACTTCCATTTCGTTGCCCCGACCGGGTCTTTCTCTGAATGTATTGACAACGCGCTGGCATCCTCAAACAGGCCCTTCTTCATATCTGATTCAGGGGATAATCCTACCGCTGGTGGATCAGGCGATGTGACCTTTGTCTTAAATCAATTGACAAAGCGACCGGAGTTTTGGAAAGGTACCGGCTTAACTGTGATTTACGCCAGCATTCCAGGACCCGAGGCAATTGAAGCTATAACCAAGGCTGGTGTGGGCACTACGGTGACGGTCACCGCCGGGGCGCAAGTCGACAATCTGCACGCTGGGCCTATCACGATGACTGGACGTGTTCATTCCATTAGGCATGGAGATCGCGACGCCGAAGTTGAAGCAGTTCTACAGGTTGGAAGCGTATTTACTATCCTGACCAAATTCCGGAAGCCATATCACCATGAGAGTGATTTTATCGGCCTTGATCTTAATGCCCGAGCGGCAGACATCGTAATAGTCAAGATTGGCTATCTTGAACCAGAGCTGTTTGACATGGCGGCAGACTGGATGCTTGGTTTGACACCTGGGGGTGTTGATCAAGATCTACCACGTCTTGGGCACCATCATATCCGGCGTCCACTATGGCCCTTCGATAGAACGTTCCATACAGCCCCAGATCTCACCCCACAGCTAATTCCGTTCTCGAACGTCGATTTGGAAATGTGTTAAGAATCAATTGCCTATCATGGTATCTGGTTGTCTAAGATCCACGCCTAGTGGTTTAGATTGCCGGAGTATCCGCAAAGTTCTTTCCCAGCACTACGTACATGTCTTTGTTTCCCTCGGTTCCTTGACCCAAGACACTACCAAGCTGTAAGCATAGTGCGCCCAGTCTCAGTATCCATTAGCGCTTATTTGAGCATGTGGACCAATTGAAAATTATTTGATTATGAATGTCATCGCGACTTTGCGAACATGATGTCTTATCTGGAACGCCACATTAATTGTGACTCATTCGGGTTCTACTTCGTATTTAATAATTTTGGGCCACGCAAAGAACGAAATACTCAGCACTTGAAAAAGAAACCATTCTTCTATGTACCCTCTAGAAGATCCATTTGCCTAGTACTGTCATCTGAATTGTCGCTTTTGTGATGTTTGCTAACGTGATAGCTGAGAACGCGTTTCTAGCTTTACTATGGCTTCTAGGCCAGCGAAAACTGGCTTTGTCACCTCATCTCCGTACGAAGAAAAGATTGGTTACTACCGCGCCATCCGCCATGGCAATCAGATCTTTGTTTCCGGAACTACAGCGGTTGATCCCCATTCTCCGGTTAATGCACCGCAAATTCTCCACCCAGAAGATGCCAAACAACAGACATGCGTTGCTCTGAAGGAGTGTATTCGAGCTATCCAAGGCCTCGGTGGCAAAGGCCCAGAGGATATAGTTCGTGTCAAGATGTTTGTCAGTCGCCACGAGGACTGTGAGGCTGTGGGACAAGGATTTAGTGAGATGCTAGGCAAGCATAATCGGGGTGGAGATGGTACGATAGGAGCTGCTGCAACAATGATTGTGGTCAATGGCGGTTTTATAAATAAGGGGATGCTTGTTGAGATCGAAGTAGATGCTATTGTGGAGCATATTTAAAACTAGGTGTTGGGGCATGGTTTGTTTGGGTCAACAGCGCACTTTCCATCAATACAGTCCCACAGATCAGATCAGAACACTCTTCACTAATTGAGCATACGACATCTATGTGGCAGTCAATACCAAAGAAACATCTAGAAGCTAGATTTGATTTAGGTGAACCATACCTAGGCAATGGGTCATTGCCAATGGCCCTCCTATTCGCACGTCTCTGTCAAGTCATTGCCGCAGATTCCATTTACGCAGTACCAGGGATCGGAACAATCGTTATCGTCAACGCAGGTGGTGCCTGTGAAGAATCAATGAGCGGCTGTGGAGCTTGGGGGTGAAGTTTATCCTACCTGCACAATGCCCCTCCCAGGCACATGTAGTAGATGTGGGTGCCGACGCAGTCGTGGTCTTGGTCGTGGTTGCAGTTATATGGATTGTTCTTGTTTGCTTGGAGCTTGTGTTTGTTGTGGTTGTGGTGCTGCTTGTTTTCTTCAGGGTAGTTTTGGTGGTAGTGGTTGATCCACTCAATCCAGCGGCCTCCTTGATATCTGACAACGACGTCCCAATCTGGATTCGGTAGACGTAACTATCAATCCCCGCAACCTCGCCCCGATAGATACCGAACTTCGGTTCAGTCCGTCCAGGGAAAGTGTTTGCAGCCAACCGAGTGGTTCCAGATGTAGAGAAAGTCTGCATCTTACCATCGAAGTATAACTCGACCCATCCTGGACTCGCTGTGTTGATCACTATACCGAACGAGTACACTGTATTTGTCTTAAGAGTCTGGGACCATTGGTGCTCACGTCCCGTGGAGTATGACGATTGGTATTGCAGGTGGATTTGACCACCTTTGAACTCCAGGCCCAGTGGAATATTAGCCCCGCCGTCTGCAGCATTGTTGGCAGCATATTCCTTGCTACAGTAATCAGTTAACAGAATGGACCATGCAGTATTGTTTTGAACACAAAGGCAAGAAGGGGATGTTAGGAAAAGGAAAAGGAAAAAAAAACGACGAAGGAAAAAGGAAACCGTACAATTGCCAGACCATCAAGCTTTCCTCGATGTCAGAAAGAGAAAATTGATATCCAATATAGTATGTCTGATCCGATGCCATCTTGCGCGACAGGGAGTGGTATTCCGCCCGAATATCACCTTCAATCCGATGGTAATGCAACGAGGGGACTCCCTTCGGGTCTGCTCCAAGCTTGATGTAAAGATCATCAGTATTGGAAGAACTGGTATCACCGCGGGCTGCTTCGAGGTTGCGATTGCCAAGCATAGAGGGATTATCCCCACGAGCAGCGGAGAAGTCCAACAGAGATGACGAGAAGACGCCTGGAAGGTATAATACTAAAAGGCACAAGTAGGGGTAAAACACCATACTGAGAGAAATATGATTCCTCTGAATTTCGAACCAGAGATTTGGACTGTCTGAATAATATTTGCCTAAAATACGAAACCCGCTCGAAAATGATGACCTCTTTATGGTCAGTTTATGACCCTTCACAGTCTATTGAAGGGCATTACCTCTTTATGGTCACTTCACGGCCCCTTTACAGTCTGTTGAAGGGCATTACCTCTTTATGGTCATTTCACGGCCCCTTTACAGTCTGTTGAAACGCATTGCCCCTTTCTGGACTAGCCTCACATGTACTTCGTCGATCCTCGCTCCCCTATTTAGAGCATTGACTTTAGCCGTCTAATCCATTACCCCCGGAGTCCAAGGTTCGTTCATAATGTTTTGGCTCGTTTACTTAAAGCCTTTCATGTGAACAAGTCGGCAATACTCTACAACATCGAAAGGGAAATATTAGTTGCTAACTACTATCACTAGTCTGCAGGTGACACAATAGGGTATGAAGATCTCACCATAAGTTTGCATATTTCTTTCTTTTTAAGATCACTTTCTTTTAAGTTGACCATTAGCCAAATGAAGATTTTCCCTGTGTAGAGTCGGATTGGACAATAAAGCACGGCCACGCCACTTGAGAACCCTACCTGCCACTTCCGCTATAAACCTTGAGAAATGCTACGGACACTGACATTATCTAGCGACACTACGGGCGACTAAGTGTGCCATCTGTTCATAACTCTCTTATTGGATAATATTTCTAGTAGCCGAATACAGACACAGACGCGAGCCTCTATATACAGAAAAAATCAAACTTACTGCATCTTCTCTTTTCAGCGCCTGACGAGTGGTTAGTACCCAACTAAGATAAAATTCACCGTGACGTTGGTGATTCACGATTTACTAGTAATTCCTTTTTGATATAGTCGAGTTACAGACTACAATCCATATTATTTCCTTTATTTAGGGATTAGCTCTATTAACAATATCGCATCCCGTTATAAAGGCGTATATGGCACGTCTATAGCCCACAGTATTAAGGCTATAATGACTTGTCTTCATCCCTTTTATCTAGTCCAATATAGTAGCGAACCACTTTATATAACTAAATAAAGTGAAGGTTTTCGTTAATTATAGGAATTAACCAAATCTCACGATATTAACTAAAGATAACTATATAGCGCTTATAACAATTTTTATTATCTGCTATCTAAGTATAATAGTATATTATAGTAGAGTATAATGGTGTGAAGGAGATCATATATAAATTAATAGTAATATTGATATATCTATGGATATATTAATACTGGTAAACTAAAATATGACTCCTAAATCGCCATAAATCATGAGATAATATAAGATATCATACTATGACTCACTATAAATAGTGAGATAATAGAGATATCATCAATTATCCTATATTTGCCTCCTAAATGGTCTATATAAAGGCACTGTTTTACTCTTTAATCTATATACTTCTTGATATACTTAAAATATACATATCTTTATCTGCTATTTAGGATAAGTATTACCTCTAACATTACATCCTATATAATATAATTATATAAGATATTACTTCTAGTTTGAGCTTCTAGGCCTCGGAGTGCCTGTTGGTGTCGTCTCCCCAGAGACCATCTGAGTGACAACTACTGTATTGTGGACACACACATTGATGAATACAAACTATTTGATTCTCCGTTCCCGGGTGCTTTCCCTTATTATTCGGTCTCACAGTACGATCTATAGATCTAGTGCCTCTTCGTCCAATCATATAGAGCTAAACATGGATGTTCTGAACCGCGTGTCGCCTGTACTATCACCGCAAAGTTGTCGTACCACACGATTTCGTTTACAGTAAAGTACTGCTGCCAGGAAAAGAAAAATTCGCCCGGCTCCTTCCCGAATCAGGTTTCTATACAGTAACCCCGCGGGATCCCTGCCACTGTTCTCGAAGTACTAATATATGTTCACATATCTAAGATTATGCTCTTCCTAGAGGCTAAAGTTGTCTGGGATCAGCGCTCAAAGCTCGTAAGAGGGCCAAGAGACATGCATAGTTGAATACCTTGTCAAAAATAGGCTCTGTGGGTGATACAAAACTGCCTCCATTGATAGGAATACGGCAACGGTCATTGGTCTAGGCATTGCCAGAAGACCCGATGTCGGGCGAGGTATTTATAGGCAAAGGCCTTTGATTGAGTTCCCAAGTTTTGGGAGGGCGTTGATGGCAAAGCTGATGGGCACGATGAAGCTTTCCAGCAGAAAAAGAAAAGTAAAGTTGACGGGAAGAATTTTCGGATCAAAAATGACTTTGTTCACCATCAATCAAGACTTATTGGAACACCCTCAGGTTAAAGCAGCCGCACTGTATGCCTCATTTTCAATACCCCTGCGTAAATGCCTCAAAGTTATGCTCTCATGATAAGCTGATCTAATAAGATATAAGAAAGTATAATCAAAACTGGCCGCTACTGGGTTACGTGTAGCCCGGAATATGGTCGCCTCATTGGGGCAAGCCCGATTCTACTGTAAGCTGGGATAGTTGGAGTGTAGAGTGAAGATGTACTGCCATATTCGAAAACACATTCCCCCGTGTCAGACGAGAATCTGACCCGCTCCCCAGCGAGTCGAATCTCTCCACAGCTTCTCCTGTTCTTCCCGGGGACTCTGTTGTACGCTACAGGTATAGTTCAATCCGATCGATTGGATGGAACTTCAGGATTACGAGTGTGTAGAGAAATTCAACGGATGGGGTAGATTCTGTTAAAGACTACAGATACTGGATGGGTCAAAGACTACAGATACTGGATGGGTCCATAGGACCTAACCTCACCACGGGCGGTGAACTCGTCTCCGCCTCTTTCTGCCCTTCCCCTCGGGCGTTTCAATGATCCGCCCGTCACCCCGCATACACTCGCAGATCGTTTCCCGAACCCTATCCTGAAACACGCTAGTCCAAATATAGTGCCACTGTCTTCAGCAAGTGTGCTTTCTCTCACCGTCACTACATGCTCAAGTAACGTGACTGGTGACGCGCGCTGATGCCCTGAAACGATGAACAGGAAAGGCAGGTAGAAGAACTGAAAGTCATATTGATTTGCCTGACTGGTACTTGGAATGCAAGTGAGCATTGACTAATGAAGAGATAAAAGTGTCTGACTAATAGTCGCAATATCTTGGAAAATAGGAAATCCAGTAATCTGTCAATCAACTATCGTATTTTGATTGTGCAAGTGGTGTCAAAACTAGAATTCTCAAGTGAAGGACCCAATGTCAGAGGAGGCTGATGTTACCGTTTGAACTGAATTTACTAAATCCTAGCTTGAAATTTAAAAGCTTCGTAAATAAAGCTTGAAATTTACATGATTGTGATCCTTCGCGATGGAGTATGCTGTCTTGCCTTTCAAATCCTTCAATCTCTTTTTGACACCAGGCTCCTTGGACAAGACCCGCACAACTTCGAAATGCCCACCAGCTGCGGCCCACCAGAAAGCGGTCCTTCCCTGATCATCCACCGCATTTACATTGATATTGGGGTGTTCCAATAGAAGTGTGGCAATATTAAGCCTACCGTTGGCTGATGCCAATATGAGCGCAGTAAAGGATTGAGGACCTTGGTCATTGACTAAAATAGTCTCTTCGTAGTACGCGATAAGCGTCGGGAGCCTAAGAGTTCTGCGAAATAGGTATATATCCAAATCGTTTCTTCCTCTTTGCCTTTTGTCCGATTTATGAGCAATTGGAGAAAATCATTGTTTGCGTATATGCTGAAATTTTATCGTCCCTTCTCTTACATAATCTTATAACGTTACCCAAGATTCTTTTGAGTGATTGAAGTGACAACTAGCTATTGCTATGGGGTCGAGCAGAGGATAGCCTACGCATAGTGCTTATACACGACATGTGGTCCATGTGATACGAGCTGTCCCTCATATTTACGCACAACCAAAGCCACGGGAATTCCACGACAGCTTGGGTAGGTGCTTCTAAGTGAGAACAGACGCCCTTGACGAATGATAATAGCGAGCAGGAACCATGGGAAAATACAGACAAGAACCTTGTTAGCCCAACCTGATTAGTTTCTATTCTTTCCGTTCTATTACCTCCTCTCCCTGACTACCCCACTTATCACGAGAGATTTTAAAGACGGTCACTGTTAACTAGATACATAGCGCTGGCTCAAAGAAAGGAATAAACTGGTTAGGCATTATACATCGACATCTTGCCCAAGAAATTCAACGCAAGCATTGATTAATGACTCCAACCATTCCACAGTAGGGAAAATTATCACAACCAACAGAGAAACGGCCAGTTACTCCAGAGATACGAGAAGCAGAGCGTTTAGGACGTGCGTCTCTTCGTCCGCCGCTTCTGAGATCAATAAACCCCAATTTTTTTTAATCCACTGTGAGAAGTCAACATCGTCCAGTCTTTGCAACTGGCTATACTAACCCCAACAATCTCTGATCGATCCTCGAACGGTATCGCATTTCGTGCGATTGCCTGAAGCCCACCATACATTCCCTCGATAAATACCAAAGCCCTTTTCATGCTGGGCAATTCCCCGCCAAATGACATCATTCCCTTAGCAACCAATCATCTCTGGGTGCGTGATGCGGGCCGGCCCGGTCTATGTGCAAGGCACCACAGCAACATAAGAGAAACAGCGGACTGCCATCCCCTTCGGATTCACTGAATGGGAAGGGAAGGAAGCTGCCGAGGGGTGGTCTCAGATGACAGCTGATCGGACTGAACCACACGTTTGCAAGGCTGATTTCGCTCGAGTTTCTATTGGCTGAGTCAGTTTCCTCTCCTTTCCCCATTTTGGAGGATAACTAAAAAGTAAAAGCCCCGTGGAGTCAGAAGCCTGCTACTATTCTGGTGATATCAAATATAGTACATTACAAGAGTCGTGGCGTTGTTGCTTGGTGCTTTTATTTTACGACGTGACCTTCGACCGGGCTTTTTGTTTGAGTTTCTATTGGTTGAGAGCATTCTGCCTCTCCTGCCACCAATTCTCAGGATTGTAACATTATAAAGACGGTCATATAGTACAGTGGAATCAGGCTTTCTGATGACACTAAAATATTTTGCCTCTGGGTATTGTGGTATTGTGGCTGCCAGCTGCCATTTGCCCTACAGGGTGGTTTGAAAAAAAACGGTCACAAGTATAACAACAACCCACTCCCTTCCGTCTTCTTGCACCTGGTGTTGTCGAACACATCATGTCATATTGCAAATTAACGAATCACGCGTGGTACCAACAGTCTCGAACAGCAGCCTCCAAGTAGACAGCTTTGAGGGCATTTCTGCGATTATATTTAAGGTCAAGCCCTTTTCGATCCTTTATTCTTTGAAGCATAACTCACATATTATACCCTTTGGTTTAAGTCAATATTATGGTCAAGTTCAACCGACCTTTCGGGGCCGTTTTTGATGTCATCAAGCTTTAGGAGAGCGGATTGCATCCTTGCTCTCGCCGTTTCAATCATCGACCAACTTTCCCGAACAAATTTATCGTCGGATTGCGGAGGGGGATCGAGGAAGATTTTGTCGAGGGAGAGAAGTGCTCGTTGTAACATGTCAAAACACTCATCAGGACTCGGGTTATACCCAGGATTTTTGAATAATCGCTGGCAGTTCTCCATGCAAGCTCCAGCGGCTTTCACTTGGGATAGCATGTTAAAGGCGACCAGAAGCAATTCGATAACATCAGGCGGGCGGGCGCATAGCAGAGTATTCAGCGAGTAAAACTCCAATCCATGGACTGGATCTTGACCTTGGCATTCCCTTGGGTCACGCTCGGGAAAGTATGGTACCCCCATAATTTTACACTTACTTATTGATGGAGGTCAAACCTGTCATTGACAAACAAGACATTGAACATGTGCGATTTTCTTGTCTCGAATATTGTACGTATCCACGTATCCACGTATCCTCATGAATAGACACAACGGTCCTAAATTGGCACAATCAGATTATCACCCATCCGCCAAATCCGGACATATATGGCCCCCTCCAATTTGGTTTCCTACCGAAGTTCCAAACTTACAAGTTGAAGGTTTTTCTCGACCTTCCTTTCCCACTCGAGTGAACCTCGGACACCAATATCATCTTTTTTTCAGTTTTCCGATGAGCGACAAAAGTACAGCAAGAAACACCAGGTCTCATCAGAATCCAGACGTTTCTTCGCCATACTTGGACAATCAGGACCTCTTCAAGCATTACAAGGAATAATCCGCTCAGCCGAAGCCGAGCGAGAGGAGCCTGCATAGTATCATCAACCAGTTGTTTACGTGGAAGAAACCTAAATGCAAGAAGCTTCCTATGAGCGCCAAGACCAAATGAATCCGTATATCTGTTGAACTGCCTGGGTATTAAGCTTATTCCGGCAAGCGGACGGCTAAAAGGCCCCCAGGTTAACCAGTCAAACTTGGTCAACTTTCGATTCCGGTAGCTTAGCATTGACTGAAATGACCACCATTGCCAGCAAATGGATATTTTCATAAGATGGGACGTCTCTGATTGAGCACTAACAGTCAGCACTCAGCATGAAGTGAGGTAATACATGTATGCCGGGTTTAAGGTGATATGATTCCACGTGTCAAATCTTGTTAAGACCGGACTGACGCCGCGAGGACTCCCAGGAGGCCGAGCATCCGATTAATCTGAATGATAAAGACCCTACTCTCATTGAAAATCTGCTGGAATATCTATATACCGGAAATTAAAGCTTTCCGTTATAGTCGGTTGGTTGGTTGGTTGGTTGATATCATTTATCCTGACCCCTCGCAATTGAAAGTTGATTTCCCAACTAGACTAAAATACGAATCCGCACTCAGCCTAGTGGGTTATGTTTAGAATCCAACTTTGAAAGCGATATGCAGGATACGACTAGTATATATATATCCCTGTGCGTACAAGTTGAGTGTACCACTTCCTGAAAACGAACTTAGAGCCTCGTCAAGGCCTGTCATGGCCTGATTGCCGTTCCCAATGTTAGGCTGCAATTGTGGCGCGCGACTCTGAAGCCGTTGTGACGCCTCGGCGAAGTCCAGCACGGCATTGACCGTCCTAGCCCACGAGACGGCGTCTGGTTTACCTTTCTTACCTTCAGTTGAGCCTCCCAGCAGACTCGAGATGCTTTTAAACGCATCCCCTACTTCGCACCGTAATCCTCTTCTGATATCCCTTAATTCTGGACAGTCCACCAGAACGTGGGTGACTGTTTCTTGTGCGCCGCACACGCACTGGTCGTCGTCTCGGAGGCCAAAGGCCTTGGCGTAGGTGGATAACCAATTGTGGCCTGTGCGTAGCTGGGTCAACAGGTACGCCCGGTTCCTGACCTCCCTTATAGTCATTCTCGAAATCGGCTTGACCAGTGCACACTCAATCACCCTGTTCTGGCCCCACCGGCCGAGGCCTTAGCGTAGATCAATCATTGAGCGGGCCGCATTGAATTGAGGAGCATCGTAAAATACTCTTTGTATCGTACTCTATATTTCTAGTGAAGTTACGCAATGCGTACAAGAATTCGGTGAAATTCCATGGAGTCGATAGTGGATCTCTACGAATCAGCAGACAATATGCGAGGCGGCTTCAAGATTTCAACTCTCATTCTCGGCCTAGACATATTTCCTTTGCCAACCACCGCCAACTGAAAGGTATTCTTCAGCTCATGGAATATCACAGTATATGGTAATGTCCGCAATCTACTGTTCTGGCTAGAGTTCTGTTGCTTGCTTCTTTTAGTAAGGCCTTACTGCGGAGCAAATGACAATTACTGCCAACGAGGGGGTATTATCGTCGTGAGTGTCACAGGCCTAACAAGTGATCCTATAATCGTCTCTTTAGCGGGATTTAGCTTGGTCCCGCTTTCTCGATTTTGTTCCGTCCAAACACAAAATTAGACTAATCAAGGGTTGACTCAGCTTGGCCGACGAGGTGTGAAGAATAAAGCATACCGGGAATTTCTAGCATAGCTATGGCGGGAGTGCGTAAAGCCTATATTCGACAAGCTCGGATATTCTGCACTATCTCCAGACAATTGCCTGAGGATTTGGTGTATTAGAACTGGTCTTACTAGCTCCTTCCCATTTCACGCTACGTGTGATGAAAACTCCACAGGAATCACTGAAAGTATGATGATATCAATCTGGACTCGCGTGATAAAAATAATTCGCAGAACACATTTAACAATTTAAATGATAGAACTTTTCATGTCAACCGGAAATTGACGAGAACACAGCAGACAGGACCTTGCTCCACAAGAACAGACCTCAGCACATCCGGAGCTAAAACACTTTCCAGGCTTTCGTTCCTCAATTATGAGTTGTCGCCTCAATTATCCAGGTCAAGGGCAGACTCGGAAATCGTGACTGCTGGGTATGCCAGTAGACCAGCCTTCGACGTCGATGTTTTTTCCAGTATCTTCTTGACGACATCCGTGACAGACTTTAATCTCCGCTGGGGAGACGCCTTTGGGTCCCTTAATCTTGAGCAGCTGGTCGCCGCCAACGACAGAGTTGAAGTCGATTACAAAGTCCCTTTGAGATTCCGAGAATAATTTTTGAAATTCCCTGGCAGCTTCTTCAGCAGCCCGCCGGGTAGCCCAGTCAACTTTCACAGTGGCAATCCACGAAAGATCCAGATGGGTGGCATTCACATCTGCTGCGGTACTAATAAGAGGGATTTTCGACGCTTGGGCTCTGCGAAAGTCTTTGGTCGTCGTCAACTTAACGTTAATGGTGCTGTGCCACGCGCCATTGGGGGAACAGGGAGGGAGAGGAATAGTGTAGAAAGCGTGTCTCACTTGAATAGCGCAATCCTGGGCATGACTCTTCAAGCTAAAAGAGCTGACAGTGACAGGGTCAGTGTCATCTGCTAGGTCTCCGAAAGCAAGAGGAGCATTCGCAAAGATGGCTTTGGAGACAAGCGCAGCGACGTCCTCCGCTTGACCTGGAGAAACTTCAATTGTAGAAGGCACCCCAGAAATCGAAAGAAAGCTGGAAAGATCTCTATGCATATCAGATGTATCTGGAGTGTTGCTAGTGACAGCAATTGGGTTCATCCACAGTCCAGTCAGCTTTTTGATACGCGACTGTATTCTCACAACAGGACTGATTATGCTCGCACTGGGGTCTTCAAGGATTGCAGCCTTCTGCTCCAGTACATTGGATGTCTTCTCGTAATTGTCGTACATATCTACGACGGGATCCATCGGTAAGTCCTCATCACTCTCGTCCGCTCCATCGAAGGCCAACACGGCAGCAGCGGCAGCAAGAGCCTACCGAGCTGGTTCAGCTTTCGCTGCATTTTCCAGTGCTTTACCCGGATCTCTGGTAAATTTCTTCAAGCCAAAACCACCCATGATGGAAATTATTCTCCTCTTTTAGTCTCTATGAGGGATTCTTAAAAGATAAGCTGTCGTACTCTTTTTGATAAGGCAACACCTACTTGTTTGGGATAATCCGTATCAGCTGAATTTTTCACCTTTCTCGAAACCTTGTCGGGGAAAATTGAAGGTGAAGGACATGTATCCCGTTAGTTTTCGGGATTTATTGCGCTGGAATTGAGGATCTTTTTATACTATTCAAGGGGACCTTTTTCTGTCTTTCGTCCATAACTGTACCAATTCATCATGATGCCGCAAACAGCCAATTTCGTTTATTATATAAAACTAGACTCAGTAGACCCTTACTCATAGCTGGTGAGATTAATCCATCTGTTTCAGTCCTCCGGTTCACTGAAATCAAATTCTAAAGGAAACAGATGCATTTGGATAGAGTATCTAGTTCAGTACACATGCACCTATACGTACCGGATATTCCCTGGCGGGTGGGGCTTTCCTATTTGAGCTGCCGCCGCTTTTATGAGGGTGCTCAGGCTTAGGCTCACTGAGTAGATGTCAGCACGGGCTCAGATCAGTGATCATGCTCAGATCAGTCACGTGCAGGATGACTGATGCTTAGTGAGTGCTCAGTGAGTGCTCATTGGATGCTCTCTGATTACTCAGTGATGCTCAGTGTCCAATCAGTGAGCAACACTGATGCACTCAGCCCACCTCAGACTATACCCAGAAGGGATTAGCCCCCACAGGGTCGTTTATACTGTGATAGTTAGTTCGTTGATAGCATTGCTGCTGCCCTCATTTTCCGGCGCACTACACCTCATCAAGAAGACATATTATGACGAAGGGGCGCAGGAAAGAGCGGAGAACTCCATCCGTTTCATGATGTCTTTCTTCTGTCTTCTAATTCATTCAGAGCGGCTCGAGCTCAAAGTCCCAAATATAAAGATAGACCGTGTGCCAGCTTTAGCATGTAATAATCAACACGCCTTCTATTTAAGCACTTTTTATTTGGTATATGATCTAATATCGCATTCTTTTACTTTGAATACATTCCCTACCTCCAGGTCGCACCGCACTTGATTATGGGCAGAAAAGAATTTTTTGCCAAGCGCGATGGAATCGCCAAGGAGAGGCGCCGTCTACAGCGAGAAAAGAATGGTTATACTCCTGGGGTCCATAGAGAGGAGGACTTAATTCGGGAGAAAGATAAAAGGCTCCCTAAGACCAACAAATTACATCAAGAAACTATGAACCTCTGGCTCGAGTGAGTTAAGCCGTATCTGAAGTGGCAATCCCTTTCCTATTCTAAATTCAGCTGACCTTCCTTTAGTTTCACTGTAGACCCGGAGAATGGGTTTGAATATTACCAAACCTCCCTTGGTTCTCCGGCTCCAACTCATGAGATGATTAAGGCGTACATTCGCTGGTACGTAAGTTCTACTCAAGGGCGACTGAACGATGATGGGCTACCTACGGTAAGAACCGTGAGTGCGTATGCCGAACAATTCTTTGGTGGATTTGAACAATTCACAAAAAGTAAAATCATCCCAGATGATCGAAAGGAAATAAAAATGGTTGGTATATTCGCAACTTCCCCTCTGAGACCATCATAAACTAACCTCGATGTAGTGGATCAAAAAAACCTTGACGGCAGATGGCGTCGTTGTAGACCAAAAGAAAGAGAAACTTAACTTCATAAGGCATGATTTTTTGAGAGCAGTCTCGTCTTTGTGGCAGACTGATCACCAAACTTTCATTCCGGGACTGCTTAAAGTCGTTATCTTGTTTGCTCTCCAGCTGTTCCTCTTCACTGGAGTAAGAGTCGGAGCTTTTGTACCCTCTAGTGAGGACAAACACGAAAGAGGTCTTCGATATAGAGTAAGCTTCTTTACCCTAGCGATATTATATAACACTAACCTCTATTCTAGCATATTAAATTGGTACTATTTCCTTTATCCACAGCTCGTTGGGCGGTGGGTTGGAAGGTGGATTAGAAGTGGCTCAAAAATCATCGATGTGAAAAATATATAGTGTGAGTCAGAAGGACCTAGTGGTATAATTGTCGAATATACTGGGGCTTTATTAACTGGTGCTTCTAGATTCGGAATCGGTATCCGGGATAGCAATAGGCCGCAATTTGCGTCGGGCTACCTTCTTTTCTCCCTTGTATTAGCACACGGTGCTATTTATGGGGTGGATACCGTGGATGATCTAGCGCAGTTTGATCTTTTAAATGGCGAGATTTATTTGCGATGGAAGGAAGAGTACTTGGATAAACCAGTTCTTAGGCATGCCACGGCGGACGGGCCTTAGGAGACACCTTTGACGAAACAAAAATTTTGTTCTTGCCTGCGTCAGATTTTTAATGCTGTAGGGTACTTTGGTGAACTGGCAACTATCCATTGTATACGACGAGGCCTTGGGAAAAAAATCGAAAGTAAGCCCCTTACACCACACAAAACAATCAATAGACACTCGAGAGAGATCTTCATACTAAGATTTCTATAGAGAGAAATGGCTCTGCACCTGTTAGTTAGATTATGGCGCATCGGGGCCTAGGCACCTTTCCGGAGCATTATCAAGCCCACTGTTCCTCCATAGATATAGTGGGAGCCGTTCTAGATGAGGAAGACCAATCCGATCATATCGAGTACTTTTAAGGTTATGTTTAATATTACGAACGTGGCTTGCTAGGCGAGTTGCTAGCAGAGATCAAAGGGAGTATTTTGGAAAAACCAGATATGGTGGAAATGAGAGCCCAGATCGAATCATTCTCGTAGAACCACGACGAGGATTCCCTTAAGAACATGAATTTGGAATATAGGAAGGCGCTCGTTCGGCATCGTCTGTTCGAACTTAAGCAATATCAAAATCGGTGGGTACAGGAGAAAAGAGACCAGAAAATTATTAATCGAGGAAAAGAAGAGCCGACTTATTTGGAAAATGATATTCGCACACGCGCTTAAATGTTGATTATGCCCGAGGTTGCGCGAATCGTAACAGCTATGTCCTGCACCAAGGAGCTTTCTTTTGACGAAAAACTTCTTCTTGTCTAAGATCTATAGACGTAGTGTGCCCGTGATTTTGATGTGGTATACCTCCTAAATCAAAGTCCGGTTCATGGGCTTTGTCCTGCAAAAGGGTGCCATATCAACATTGTAAGGTGAGTGCCCTGGCTGAATAATGACATGGCCAATACTAACTCCGCTAGTCTGAGGAAGTGTGATAGAAGTGCCTATATTCACGGATGTGTTCGGCGTGAGAAAGCTTCTGACCTTTAAGTATTAGAATCAGAGATGCGGTTTTGCTATGAATGTATGGAATGGTTTTTGTCGAGTCAATGGCGGAAGCATTGCGATTCCTATCTCTAGTCATGGCAAATCCAGCACTGCGAAGTAATTATCTATCGCCATACCGTTATTCGCCCGGGCTATTGCCCCTTTTGCTTATAGGACCCGAACCTGAATCTCTCCGCAGAAACCCGTTTGCGATCCTGGCTGCGAAGTGACAACCTGAGGGAACACATTGAAGGGTAGCACATGGCTGAGATTTAGCACTTCAAGAAAAAGCCGATATGCGGATGCTCTTAAATCTTTAAAAATGAGCGTGACCTTCGAAATCACCTACACGATGCGCATGGGCTAAAGGAAACCATATGGTAAGATCCAAAGCTACCTAACAAAAGGAAGCGCACTTGCAAGGTAGAATCATAATGCTCTTCAACAGAACTAGGAGAGGAGCATCCTAAGAAGATCAGATTTTATCATTACACACCTCCGTGCTATGAGCGTGAGCACGTGTCAGAAGAATCATTTGTCCCCGTCCCGGTCTTGCTTCCGTTTGTCGAAGACAATCTGGAATAATACTCGGGGCTAAGTATGTGTGACAAATATAGCACGAGGAGCAGAAGCAACTTAGTGGAACTATGCTTCTTGGAGGCAAGTCCCACACCTAGCTCGGGGCCAACAACTCTAGGCCTTGAGGCCATTGATCCTCGAATCCTCGAACCTCCCGAATTCAACACCGATAATGCACGCCAATCTTGTGACCTAGTTGTTATCCAGCCAAATTCACTTATTTTCCCACTAGAAGAGGATGAGGCCACCGAAATGTCCGTTATAGGCATAAAACAGCCGCAACCTCCCGCTCTAAGCTTTGCTAGTCAGCCTTCTGGATACTGTGCTGTCACTGAAGCCAATGAGAGGAAAGGACTGCAATGTCTCACCTCTTTGTCGACCTGTGACCAAGCCGTTACTGCGGAATTTGAGTGGGAGAGTTATCCAAGTTATCCACTTACACGGGGAGAAGGTAGCGAGGGAAACCTGTCTGTTGATGATTAAGCCCCTCCTAGTGGCCCTCGTAGAACCCTCACTAGATTCAAGGCACAAACTCAGTCGCTCCAGTATCATTCTAATAGTTTGAACAGCTGTAAGCCCCGGTAGAGGCTTAATGCAAAAAACAAACGAAAGTTGCGTGACCTATAGAGATAGAAGCTGACCCTGAGATAGATCGGGCCTCATTTCGCGGATATTGATATGGCGTTACTGCGATAGGCTTGGATGGAATTGAAGCCTTCTTAGAGATGCACCAGATCTGGGGCCAATTGAAAGGGCAACTGAATCATATTTTCAATCATAATATTTCACTTGTGCTTGGTTATTATCAGTCTGTACAAAATTTGCTATTCAGCCGCGAAGTCTAACCCTCGCCGACCTAACTAGACTCCTTGTCACACCATCGGAAAGTTCCTAGCTGTGCGAGAATAACAGATCAGTTAGAATTGAATGGCTGAAGTTCCTGTAAAATCGCGGCCTCGTTATTTAGAGAGTAAACGCATGTACGTTAAACTCGAGGGGCAAATACCCTACACTTTCAGCGCATAAGTTTGAAGCATGATGAGCTTCCTTTTTACGTGAGCCCGCGGATAACCCCTTAGATGATAGTCGAGTTCTTATTTCTAGTCGTATTTGATTGGACCTATCCGGAAAATAAATGCAGTGGGCAACAGGTAATAGACCGTGAAGACTAGCAATGCAAGCAACTTGTTGGCTGTTCTGGCGAAAACCCAATACAGCCAGCTTGTTACATGGAAACAGATAGTTACATTATAGTTACATAATCTGCACCGCCACAGACGAATAATAAAACTTAGTAAGTAATTAATTAGTGTAATGTAACGTACCATGTATGTTTTAAATTGTATTATATTACAGCTCCTGAGTGATATTTAATTCTTAGTTATGGTTGGCCTGTGGACAAAATTGATATAAAAAAGCGTGGGACCGATCTACGAGTTCAACATGATTACGTAGAAACTTGCTCGTCCCAGGATGGCGATATGCGCTCCCAGGTGAGCAACATGCGCTCCTAGGAACCTCTCTGGGTACTCCTGGAGACCAGCTTGCTGCCCCAGGAGCGGCCTCATCGTTCCCAGGAACCACCGAGTCTCCCGGGAGCCTGATACAAGCTCCTAGGGCCCAATTTTAAGTTCCCGGGAGCTCAGGGGCTCCTGGGACTACCCGTGCCGTTCCTGGGAGCATTTATTCGGTTCCTAGGAGCTTGTATTAGGCCCCCAGGAGACCCGGTGGTTCCTGGGAGGGACAATGTTGTCTGGGAATGACTAGCGACAAATAAAGAGCATAAAACAGACTTATTGAACTCTAAGCCATTTTCTTGTCATGACGTTGGAACCTACAACACAGAGCTAATCTAGCAAGCACCGTAGCTGGCAATCCGGGCATAGGGTTAGTTGAAGTCCCCTTTGTTCTTGCACGAATTCTAGGGACACAGGGGTCAAGGGATTTATTGGTGGGCAATCACAAACCTTCTATCGTCGCATACTGAAATTGCAACATTGTGTTGATACAAAACTCTGAAACGACTTTGATTTAGGTAATACATCGCCTCCATCTGTTTACAGTCTGTTTCTTGCGGGCTCAGGCAAAGTAATGCACTGCATATAGCTTAGTCCGATAGGAAGAAACTGAGTGATAGAAATTAAAATGAGGCAACCAAATGCACTTATCAACTACAACGGTTGAAAGGGTGGACTTTGGCCTTCCGGTTGGATGAGAAACTTCCAGGACGGTGAACCAGAGTCTACGTGTTGGAGTGGGTGGGAAGTGAATTTCGTTGAAAGGACAGAATGGCGCACGAAATTGTTGAAGCTAAACATGATACTCAATGTAAAAATCGAGGTCACAAATTGGCAAATAAAAACTTTTACGTTGATATCTCACAAAATGTTCAACAATGGGTCGGTCGGTTTCCGTGGGAACAGCGGTTAACGGCAAGTAGAAAAGATCAACTTCGACGAGCGGGAACTAAGTGATGTCTAGAAAACATTGATTCTGAGAAAAAGGGCAGATCTAAATGAACAGGGCAAGCGATTTTTCTGAGGGAGGTGAAGACAATCGGGTCGTCTACACCGGCACAATGTGTTCACAGCAACCTATGTCTGCAGCGTGGGGCTTCGCTACGCGAGCCGACCGTTTATTGCAAGTTGTATAAAATTTCAAAGCACTAGCCCTCAATAATTTGACTTCGTTGAAGGGATCCTTGCCTTGGTCAGGTGGTCTTGATTTTCGGTTAAAGCTGAAAACGAGCGGGAACTAAGTGATGGTCTAGAAACTGTTAATTTTGAGTAAAAGGGTAGGTCCAAAGCATAGGCTATTCTTTTCTGAGGGCAGGTTAAGACAACCGGGCTAGTCGTCTCCACCGGCACAATGTGTTCAGCAGCCTATGTCAGCAGCGTGGGGCTTCGCTACGCGAGCCAACCGTTTATTGCATGTTGTATATTCTTCTAAATTTCAAAGCACTAGCCCTCAATGATTTGACTTCGTTGAAGAATAAAACGTTGAAGCGATCCTTGCCTTTGTCGGGTGGTCTTGGTTTTCGGTCAAAGCTGAAAACGAAGGGTCACCAGCCTCCTGCAGTTTTATGACCGTGTTCAACGAACGGTCGTTAGTTTGTCCGAAGACTAGTCAAATCTAGTCGCGAAAAATTTCACACGATAGCACAGAGTCAACATATGTAATTTTTGATGTGTTCTTGAAGCAATTGGAAATATAGGGGTCAGGGATTAGCGGTGGAAATGCCGGTGGTGACTCGGAAATTGATGGCGCAAAGGTGAGGATTTACCTCTGGCGATAGCAGCCAATAGGACAGAAGAACCCCTAAGACTGCAATTAGAAGAAGAATAGCTGCCACTTCAATTGTGCAATATAAAGCGCAACGCAGTTGTTATCGAGTCCGAGGATAGGCCGTTGTAGAGAAGCTAAGCCTAGGTAATCTAAAAAGAGGAGGAAGAGTACGACGACTCGCAGTGGGTGATCAATATAAGTACTAACTACTGTGACCATAATCTTGATTAAGCACGAGAAAAGCGCAAATAGTGGAAAGCAGACCATCAGCTGATATGGTTAAGGAGGCTTCGAGGCTCTGGTGTATGAGTTTTTCTGAACTGCTCGACAAGATAACACGAGAAGGACGAAGGTAGCGAGTAGTAACGCCGTGGTCAGTAGTGTATGCACTGTAGTCGGAATCTGTATGACTGGCTTGTGGTTAACGTGCAAGAATAAAGGGGACTTCAACTAACCCTATGCCCGGATTGCCAGCTACGGTGCTTACTAGATTAGCTCTGTATTATAGGTTCCAACGTCATGAAGCCACCTATCTCGCGTTGTCTAAAGAGAATGGCGTAGAGTTCAATAAGTCTGTTATGTGCTCTCTATTCGTCGCTAGTCATTCACAGACGGCATTGTCCCTCCTAGGAACCACCGAGTCCCGGGAGCCTAATACAAGCTCCTAGGGCCCAATTCTAAGTTCCCGGGAGCTCAGGGGCTCCTAGGACTACCCGTGCCGTTCCTAGGAGCATCCATTCGGTTCCTAGGAGCTTGTATTAGGCCCCCAGGAGACCCGGTGGTTCCTAGGAGGGACAATGTTGTCTGGGAATGACTAGCGACAAATAAAGAGCATAAAACAGACTTATTGAACTCTAAGCCATTTTCTTGTTATGACGTTGGAACCTACAACACAGAGCTAATCTAGTAAGCACCGTAGCTGGCAATCCGGGCATAGGGTTAGTTGAAGTCCCCTTTGTTCTTGCACGAATTCTAGGGACATAGGGGTTAAGGGATTTATTGGTGGGCAATCACAAACTTTCTATCGTCGCATACTGAAATTGCAACATTGTGTTGATACAAAACTCTGAAACGACTTTGATTTAGGTAATACATCGCCTCCATCTGTTTACAGTCTGTTTCTTGCGGGCTTAGGCAAAGTAATGCACTGCCTGCCTTTCACACAATCCCGTTTCAGAACGGTCGCCGCAATAAAATGATCCTTCGTATGTCCTAATCCACAGAATTGAGCATTCTAGCTCTAATGGATGTAGTACCCTGTTTACCTGGCCATCATTTATGGCGTCATTGATCTTCTCCGGAAACCTCTTCTTTCTTCCTGTTCAGAGCCTCGCTGGTGAGGACCTCGAAAGCTGGTAAACCCGAATACCTAGAGTGCGATCGGTAAGGCAAACTTTGTGACTTCAATAGTAAATCTTTAACTTTGCCTTCCTTTATGTTGTTTGGAGTTCTGCTGTCTCTCCTTTGCCAGTTGGTATTCGAGTTCCCGATTCTTGAGCTCTAGGTCGCAAGCGTTTTGTTGAGCTATCTTGATATGTTTAATAAAACACTGGTTCTGCTTCTCCAAGCTGACTTTGTCCATTGCGTGGGCCCGTAACATGTTGTCGCAGTTTTGTAGCATAATAGTTGCCTCGTAGTGTTTTTGTTGCAATTTTGACATCTTAGTATATATGCTCGTAATGATTCCCTTAAGCTTTTGATTTGGATGTTGCGTGCCTGAGTCGATGTTAATTCGGAACTGCCGTGTTACTTCAATTGCAGACTGACCTTGACAAACGATTGGTAAGGGGGATGGGTTCGGACGGTGCGACGCCAAACGTCTTCTCCGTGGAGGCATCTTTATCGTCTTTGGCTTTTCGGACGATTTGTCACTTCTTGTAGGAGAGATAAGATAATTGTCAGATACAGATTTTCAAGGCCAATGGCCTCTATTTAAACTATCTCCGAAGACATGGCTTATGCATTGCTGACGTTCTTGCGATGTAAACGTCTGCGTCATCGGTATAAGATCGTCCGTCTACTTTGGATGTCAAGCCACAAGCTTCTAGGATCATGTTGCTTGCTCCTGGGATATGACAGTCTCACGTATACGTAGATGAGAACAGCGTCTTCTAGATGCATAATCAATATCAAGGAAATCTATAGTCGACTCTAGATACAAGACGTAGCGCGAGGCAGCAAAAGAGAGAGGCTTCCTCGCGTTCAGGGGATCCATATACACCATGTGGGTCCCGCAGCTCACATCTCAATTTAGCTTGTATTCTTCATGTATATCCCCGAAAATACGATGCATAACTCCCAGGAATGGGTGAGTGTTTCCTGGGAACACTATAACGTATTCCAGGATCCTTAGGGCCCCTAGGAACCAGTCACAGGATCCCAGGAGTAAGTATCACGATTATAGAAGCCGGTGACTCGACATCCACTTCTAAATAAATCCGTATCAATGATATGCCCTCAAAAAATATTCAAATAGAACCCACTGCCTCAAAGAATTGCGTCTCCCACGCTGCTCAGCCAACTACTGGCGGTGACAGACTTCTCTCTGAGATATTACTCTTAGCCATCCTTTTATTATCATCTGTATAGGTAGTCGTTACCTATACGTTCACGAAATCTGCCAATATGCCGCTTTTGGGACTTCCACTAGAATTGCTTTTGTGGATTGGCAAGTCCATCGACAAGAAGGACCTTCGAAGTCTGCGTCTCATATCTCGAGAATCCAACGTCGTCTTCACAAAGAGCCTCTTTGATTGCATAGACTTCCAAGACACCCCGCCAATTCATTGGGCAATCGAGTATAGAAACTTAGGCATCATCCAGCACTCTCTGGGTTGGGAAAAGGCAGATATTAACCAACCGTTTTCTGGCCTTACACCGCTTATGTTGGCTACAAAATTGCGATACGCAGACGCTGTTGATTTGCTCTTAAGCTATCATTCAGTGAAAGTCATATAGCGTAATACTTTGGGAGAAAGTGCCTTCTCGATCGCTGTTCTGCATAGAAGCGTGAAAATTGTCGAACGACTCCTCAATATACAGAATATTGATCTCAATAACCAATCCCTGGACGGAAATGCGCCCATTTCAATTGCGCTGACCTGTCGCCAAACCTACATCTTCCAACTTCTCTTGTCTGATGAGCGGACAAATTTCAACATCTGCGACCATCATGGCCAAACACCACTGCACCTAGCGACAGAAATTGGCGACTATGGAGCAATCCATATGCTTGTACGAAATCCGCGAGTTGATGCCAACTGTCTCAACCACCGACAGGAAACTCCGTTGCTTCTGGCTGTCAAAGGACACGGTCGTTTTCTCCCTATTAACAAAAGAATACTTATCATTGAAGCCTTGCTTTTGAGTCCGTGCATCAACCTTAATTATCAAGATGAGAATGGACGCACCGCAATCTGGTATGTAGTGAACAATTCTGACACAAAACTGGCTGAGCTCCTCTTGCAGCAAACAGATCTGGACCTCAATTGCGCCGACAAGCTGGGCTAGACACCTTTGGCAAAGGCTGCTGTAAATGGCTCCTTAGACTTGATCAAAGTCCTCTTCCGATAGCCGGGGCTTCATAACAGCCCTTAATCTGCCGATGCATTTCCGCCACTCTGGTTAGTATGTCGCGTAGGACAATTTTTAATGGTGGGATTTCTTTTGCAAAATTTAGCCGACATTAACCAAAAAAGTCCATCGGGGACGTCGCCACTTCAGGTCGCAATAATCATGGAGCACGTCGACATTGTCCATCTCCTTCTCAGCTACGAAGAATCTTTGTTGATCAATGATCAAGGCCGTTGCTCCTTTACTGCGCTCATGTTTGCGTTAGCTCGAGGTAGTTTTGAAATTGCCAAAATGTTATTGGAGCATCCCAAAATAAATGTGAATGTGGTGGACGACCAGGGGAGAACATCTTTCTGGTGGAGTGCGGCTGGTGGGCATTATGAGGTTGTACAGTTGTTGGCCAATCAGCGTGGTGTGAAAAAGCGACTGAAAGATTCAAATGGCCAGACGGCGTATGCCATCGCCAAGGAACGCAACCATGGACATGTCAAGGTTTATTTGCGAAGCTTCTAGGTTTCAGCTAGTTTATAGAAAGAGATTTCAATTGATGTGTTCACGGCGATCGGGTTCTCTGAGTGCAATACGGTACTGTAACAGCAGACTTTCCACCGCGGCCAGTTGTCTACTGCTCATCATTCTCTAGTGATAGCTACCAAGGACAGACCTAACGAGCTCATCTCTAGGCCAGGAAATTAGCAGTGCAACGGCTTGTGCTAATCCTACTGTACATGAGCTTTGGGCTTCCGTGGTATTGAAACAGATGCACTAGCTGAATGTGATACCTTTTGGGCGCCATTGCCCCATTGAGGAGTCAAGGGCTGTCGTCAAACCATGTAGCCTCGGTCTGTAGGTCTCACAGAAGGCAGCAGTCATTTTCCTAGAGAGTCCATCATTTATTGTGTACGCGCTCGCCTTGTTGGCTGTGTGCACGAATTTTCGAGCCCGCGCAAAGCCTGGCATATGCATTTCTCTCCAATTGCTGGATTTACAGTGGTCATATTGCAAAATTGATGTTGTTAAGAATATTTTCCAGGAATAGTTATGTAAGTTTTGAGTGCAAAATACCTGATGAGCGTAGTTGAGGGTGAAATAAGGGGTCAAATTAAAAATGCGATTTCAGGGAAGGAATGGCTGTGTGGAACTTTGGTTGTAGGATTCACTAGGAGTTTGATTCAGGGAGCAATTCTGAATTTAACGGCGCAGGGTCTGAACGCGGAAACATCTCTACTGTGACAGCAATCATCGTCCTCGTCTCCTTTATTTGGCTTCTATGGCAGTAGTTCCAGCTCTGATTATTGGGAGTACGCCGGTATACAGTTTGCTAGTACAGGGAGAAGTTGAATGGCTCCAAAGCACTCGTAAGTCCACTATAACAAATGTATCGATCAATTTGCTAATATGAAATATAGTTCGGAAAGACATCTGCAACAAATTTCTTATCCAGTGCGGATGCTTATTCATGTTTTTCAAGTTCTGTACCTTTTCCATATCTGGGTTTGAACCTGTCTCTATTCCGCTTTTATTTCGCTAGGAGAAAGTACGATTATAAAAAGGATTGCGGTATTTACACTGGCAGGGACTATGCGCATAGGAAGGCCTTCTGTAGTCTGGAAGAGATTATTTTTCAACCCTTATCTATATTGGGTGGGGTCTAGGCTTTACGATATCCACAGGGGGGTTAAAGCAATAAACCAAGCTCAGAAAGTAACGATGAATCACCACCAGGCAGCCGTTAAATTAGTCAGTGTATCGTGATACTGTAGTATCTGGGAGCTTGGTCCTTTCTAGAATGCCCATCTGAAATGTGTGGGCCCTTTAGTTTCTGCTACCCAGGGGGAAGAAATTACCCCAAAGTTCTTAGGAACTTATGCTATCGCTCCTAGAAGGCTATTCATTGCATAAGCAGATCATTGGTCTTGGCGACGTCGACCTATAAAGGCAATAGCACCTACAAAGTTCTTGATTTTGACAATTTCATTGCTCAGATAATAGGTGACTGATCAACTATGAGAAAGGTAAGCATATTTGCTCATATCTATCTGAGTTTTTTAAGCATGCTGACCAATGGAAAATAGCATATTTCTGCTCCCTTGAAGATGATATCCTGTATCCGGTGCTACAGGGTCGTCAAAACTACAATGATGTATTTTGTCGAAGGGGTCGTATCGGAGCAAAGGAACAAAATCGAAACGTGTTTGCCCTGGGTTTTCAATGGATGGAGCCTGCCTCGATCCATTGAACTCGACAAGGGACTGGACGATACTTGGTCGGTATACGGAATCGAAGTCACCTGGAAGACAACAGAAAGTAAGGCAAAGAAAGGTCACAAACTAAAAGTTGGGCGCCTTTCAAATGCCACACCAAGTGCGCATGGAAATAATGAGTTTGACCTGCACGTTGGCCTTTGGGTCAACCGCGAAGTGCTTGAGACGTTCGCTCCCTCCTTACTTGACAGTAAGTGCTCCGACGCGATTTGGAGCTTGGGAGAGCTAATTTAAGTCAAGGTGACATTATCGATTTTGACACTCTTCCAGAGAGCAAGAGAGAGGCGGGCATGAAACCTTTTATTCCGCTACGCCGTTCCGTCAGAGTTCAGGAACGGATGAAAATGCTAGATCCGTTATATGGTGGGATTCAAGCCCAAACATAGGACACTATTCGAGAGAGCAAGCGGCGCACAAATCCTCAGCAATGCCAAGAAAGAGATGATGTAGCGTTTATTTCAACCCTGAAGATGGAGGAATTCTAGATCAGGCCTCATCCTGAAGTCATGTTTAGTTCAATTTTTTCGATTGCACTAAAGCCACTCGCTATTTCGTCACGTTCTAATACAGTTGTTTTGTTCACTTACCAAAAGTGACTTTGCGGACTTTGCCATGTATCTACCCTGCTTTAAATCCAGAGTCATACCGTCGGGCAAATGGTAATTGCCATGATTGTAGCCTGCGATTTTGAGGAGGGCGGCAAATCACCGTTTGGATTTCCAAATTCATTAACAGGCCCCTGTAATATTTTTACACCAAAAACACCAGCTACAGAGAAAGAACTACGTCGACAGGCTTCATCAATCAAAGCTTTACTTCGTACAAGATCTCGAAGTCCACCAAGCCCATCAGATCGTGCATTAAACCAGCTGATTAAAGGCTTCCGTCTCACAATGCAAGGTGCTATACTACTCGCGAAAGAAAATAAGGAATTACGCGTTGCCAACGAGAAGCAGAAACAAAAACGGACTCGGTCGACTAGGCGGATAGCCCACGAAGGAGATCTCTCAGTTCAGGAGGTTCGTGAGCTACGTTCAGAGCCATTTGAGTCCCAAGTAGCGCGTATCAATGCCTATCGTGAGCAGATTTCAGAGGGTTTACAGCCAGCTACACGAGCCGGGCGAGCTTGTGGAATATGCAGATTGCCGGGGCTTAGAAGAGAAACATGTCCAGATAGATAAATCATTTTAGTTGAATTAATTTAATGGTGTTTTGGTTGAGATATACACACACACACACACAGGGATTCTTTCTCGAACCCTCCTCCGAAAAACGCTATGCCTATTCCAGTTACTCTTCTACTGAACCCCTGTCTTGGCAGTAATCCATTACAGTTGTAAATAACAGGATAAAAATAGCTGCTGTATTAGAACTGTACGGTCTCTTGGGTTTCTGGAACGTTTGATGCTGAAAACATGTCAAAAAGATGGGTGTATGCTCTTGTCGTCTGGAGACGTGGCAGAATCTGAATCTCCCTCCGTCAACCTCTTGCCACCTAGAGTGACCCCTACAAATGAGCCAGTTGTAAGGAGACAATATTAGTGGGTAATCTCTCTCCTCCCCCATTAGTTTCCCCTCTGATCAGTGAGCAGGTGAAATGATGTTAGGGTAAGGTTCTGGGGGATGCTAACTATTAGCAAATGCATGTGACTTGGCGATCTGGAAGTTCCTGGGAGCTTCGTGGCACTCACAAATCTGCGGGCCTCAAAAAACAATGCAGTTAGAAAGACAACGCCCGTCATGATCTCTGCTCCCGATCATAGTATTTCTGATGTGCGCTTGAAATTGTTGGAAACAGTGGCCTCTTCAGGCGATGTGGTTAAAGTGTTTTATCTGGAAAATATTGGCTGGTTCGGGTAACGGGTTTCTCATTCGATCTCACTGTTTGGATCGGGTCGATTAGTTCCTGGGAACGGCACTACCCGCCCCCACATGGAAGTATGATCGACAGAAAACCATTCAGGAAACGGTGTGAGCGAGCTGAAAGGCGCAGATAATTGCTTAGCGCGCTAGAGTCACATGATGACGAGGCTGAGGACGTGCCCCTCTTTCAGCTGGTTGGATGTCCGGCTCTGATTCTCGTCATGAACCACATCAAGAATCCTTACTGTAAATGACAGCCACTCCATCAACCTTTCACTTTGTGACACCCCTGTTCTGGACAAGAAAGACCAAGACCTCTTGTTATACTAGCAGAGAGGGTTCTTGATTGACACACCGACTACTATCCCGCGCGTCTGGAAATTCTGCTTAGTCGAGTTGCTCTCCATTCAACATGGCTGGGAATCCCCCATCTCAGCCAGAGAAATCAGTGTCAGCACAAAACAAAACTAGTTCCGAAACATCCCCATGCCGAAAGCGACTCCGACACGATGCCTATACCATCGGGTGGGTGTGCGCCCTTCCAAAGGACTACCCAGAACGAATCTACTCAACCCCGAATCAGATTGAATAAAGATAATACCGAGAGAAGAGAATGGATGATTGAAAAGATACTGGATTCACGCATCACCAAGAATCGACATGGAAAGAGAAGACTAGAATACCACGTGAAATGGAAAGGCTACTCTCCTTCGTGGCGACCCCAACAGGACCTGGTCCCGGGGAGTGGCGAACTCTTGTACGAGTTCCACAGTCAGAACCCAGATCGGCCTTCGCCTACTGAACTTTGGCGTCGCAGGAGCTCCTAGTTGTTAAGGAGGGGGTAATGTCAGGGATATACATGAAGTATACAGGATGTTTGGAGCTTTGGAGAATTATTCAATGACAGAAAATATGTTGATCCATCAGCTGAGTGAGGAGATGGTTGTAAATATAGATCTGTACGTGCTGCAGTCTGGGGTATCTCTGATTTTCTGTGAGAAGAAATATTGACATGTACATTCTGTATTTCTTACCTGGATTGAAACTGGTAACACGCGAGTTCGTTTGGAGTGTAGTGCCCGTAGGTTGTTCCGTAAGACTAGCTGGTGCAAACTGGGACGTATTGCCTTGCCTATAGGTGAGCATGGTACCATTACACTGCGCATATCGCAATAGCCATCAAGAACACTTACCAACCGACGACGAGATATGACCGGTAACGTGTACGAGCTGGCCAGGACAGGGCTCGGTGGAACTCCCATATTTAGTCGCAAGGGACTCAATCACTGCGTTTTGGAGATCACTCCTACGCTCTAATATTTTGAATGGAAGCTCTGTCCTGACCCGATCGGTCATGGAATAAACAGCAGCCTGTCCGAGACCTGCGGCACTCAATGCAACCATAGCAGCCCCTGCAATATCTTTCAGTCTCTGAAGAAACTTCACATAATGCTGTTGTCGTGGCGGGTCTTCATCGGTAGCTGTGGCGTTGAGGTGCCTGAAAGCACCCTTCACACGCTTTGTTTCCGTAGCCTTGAAATCCCCCCTTTTCCTCACAAGCTCTGAAACATCCAGGAGTTTAACAATAGCTTCATTAACAGTCAGTGACTTTGGGCGATTTGCAACATGCTGAGACGATCGGGCCATCTTGTTTGATATCAAAAAAAACTGTGAAGTCCAGCGAAATATCACTGAGATTCAGGCAGAATCGATGGGAAAGTAGTAATGTAATGGGTTATCGACAGAAATCGGTCGGAATCGATGGAAATACGAGTTGTAGTCACGTGACAGATCACAAGGCCACGGCTATTACGTGATATCACCTTGGAAAGACCGTTGGCCCCTGAATAATAAACTTCTGGGGAAGACAAATTTGGTATACGTTGCAGCCATATCGTCATCTTATTTTTACCTCCTTTTTCGAACTTCTTTTGGCTCAAATTCTCCGCGGTGATACGGCGATGAGTCAATTGTTGTCATTGGCCATTCGGTTGTTGCGCCCGCATTATTTTTGTTCCCCAGTCATTTCTCCTGTCCTTCGTAAGGGGCATATGCCACTGCTTCATCATAAGCAACCCCGCTGCGCGTTGACACTCACCGCATTCAAATTAATGGAGACCAACGAAGATTTTGACACGCGTCTCCTCTACGAGCCTCTGGAGGGAGTCGAAAGACTTGAGAACTATCGACCAGGGGGCTATCATCCCATTCAAATCGGAGATCACTTTCACGGTCGATATCGAGTTGTTCATAAGCTGGGACATGGGTCTTATTCAACTGCGTGGCTGGCCCGTGATGAACAATTCAATGAATACGTTGCAGTGAAAGTTTGCACAGCAAACGCAAATCCAAAGGAAGTGGACATTATTTCCATGCTCACTCGTCCTCATTGTCCTTCAGTCAACCATCCAGGAAAGATGATGGTCCCTTCGATTCTAGATAGGTTCACCATTCACGGCCCAAATGGCAATCATGCCTGCTACGTTACAGCGCCGGCGAGTGCTAGCCTCTCCGGGGTGAAAGATGGCTCATGGATCCGCTTATTCCAGCTTGACGTAGCCCGGTCATTGGCTGCACAACTCGTTCTTGTTGTGGATTATATACATGCCCAAGGAATTGTCCATGGAGACCTTCACCTCGGCAACATTCTTCTCAAAGTTCCACCCAATTTTGACCAGCTCCCACTTAAACAATTATATGAGAAATATGGAGCACCAGAATTAGAACCAGTTGTTCGTCTAGATGGCAATCCGCTTCCGCCTGGTGTCCCATCCCACGGCATTGCGCCCATATGGTTAGGGGAAGCGAGTGAGAGAATCACACTTTCAGAGACCAGGATCTTGCTTACAGACTTTGGTGAAGCCTTTTCCCCCTCAAAAGAACGGAAATACGAATCTCGCACCCCCCTTGTCATCCGTCCCCCCGAGGCGCGGTTTGAGGCAAATGACCCTCTGTCTTTTTCATCGGATATTTGGACTCTCGCCTGTACCATATGGTCTATCATAGCCCAACGGCCATTATTTGAAGGGTTTCTCGCGACGGAGGACGACATGACCTGCGAGCATGTCGATGCTCTTGGTGTTTTGCCGCTTGAATGGTGGAGGAGGTGGGACGCGCGACGACTGAAATTTACTGAGGATGGTAAGCCAATGAACCGCAACTCTTTCCGATCTTGGGACGATCGGTTTGAGGATAGCGTGCAACAGCCTAGGCGAGATAGTGGCATACCGCCGTTTGATGCAAGGGAGAGGGAAGCTTTCTTCGACATGCTACGGCCGATGCTCTCATTCAGACCTGAGAATCGCCCTACTACTAAGCAAATTCTCGATTCAGAATGGATGCTAAAATGGGCTCTGCCTGAATATGGCAAGATCCAAGATATTGTATGAGTTATTCTAGGGTGGTACTGCATGTATCATATTTATCCGCTCCCGAGGGAGTATCCCTGGGTCTGTTGCGAAATATAGGATGCTTGCACCTGAAAGAGACTACGACGGCAAAGCGTTCTGCCACAATAGATCGA